TCTCTCTCTCTCTCTCTCTCTCTCTCTCTCTCTCTCTCTCTCTCTCTTAGACACACACACACACCACAAACTCGATTATGTTGTTCAAGGACATGAAATGGCTCTTGGGCAGGGCAGTAGTGTCTCGTGCCTATTAGGTATACAGTCCAGGTGTTATGATATAAATATAAGGAATTAAAACCCCTAAAAGAGAAATTGTGTGTTTTTATCTTTATCTAAGTTTTCAAAGGCTCTTGCAACTAAAACAATTTAAGCTATTGAGCAATTTGTGTGAATATACAGAACACAATATTTTGATTCTTAGCCTTGTTTTCTTTCCAACTTGCCTCTCCTTGTTCCCTGTTTCTCTACCAATCTGACTCCACTTGCAGGGTACCTGACTGATAAGGACCTTCTTGCATTTCTTTCCCGGTGTCGAGATGGCCTGAAAGAAAATGGTATTATCATACTGAAGGACAATGTAGCACGGGAGGGCTGTATCTTCGACCTGTCTGACAGCAGTGTGACCCGGGACATGGATATCCTTCGAAGCCTTTTTAGGAAGAGTGGACTGGTGGTTCTAGGCCAGGAGAAGCAAGAAGGCTTCCCAGAGCAGTGTGTTCCAGTGTGGATGTTTGCACTGCACAGTGACAGACACTCTTGATCGGCACTGGAAATGAACCACCAGACTGGATGATGGTGCTTCAGAACTGGGTGTATCGCCCAGGTGCCCTGTGTGATACAGACAGATATGGAAAGAAGGGATACAATGCATGTCTAGTATGATTGATGATGTAGTATGTACAAGCTGTTGCTACCATAATGCACACACTGTGATGTGTGCACATTTAGATGTATGCTTCCTGTAACGAGATATTCACAGATGCTGTGGATTTTCTGAGAGATGGAGTAAGACAACAGGGCAGTACTTTAATAAGGTCCTTGTTAACATGTTCACTGCACAAATGTGTATATGAAGACCCTAGAAAGAAACGATGCTCACAAAAGAGAGTCTGCATTAGTCACTGATGATTTGTGTTTATAATAATCTATCACTGAACAGGGTAGAAAGTCTAGACCTGTTTTTCTGTTCCTCTATCAGCTATCTTACACTTTCTTCCTCTTTGCTGTCACAGCGTCTCTTGAACAAACACCTCCATCTAACTAAGAAGGTACTAATCAAATAATCTCATGAAAACAAGTCTATTAATTTTGTCCTTAGCTCTTCTTTTGGCAGAAGTATATGGTTTCCCTTTCTATTTTGGGTCAGTTTTACTACCAATGATGTAATATGGATGTAATTTGATAACTAATGCTTGCATTACCATGATGTGGAAGTGTCTCCTTTCAGGAGAAAATGTTACACACTCAAGTTTCACCCCAACCATATAAGTAAATGTTGTCAATGATCTAATTTTAGCCACTGGCTTTGAACAGTGGCTGTTTCTTTGCATCTGGTCTTCATTCCTTGAATGAAATGGATGTACCTTGAGAGAGAAACATCAAAAGAAACAAGCAAGTGAAATGATGCTTAAGTACTGGCATAGCTGTGTTCACAAAAGGCATTGGTGTAAATAAAATAATCTAAAATCTTTCAAAAGGAAAAATGAAATCCAGTTTTTATTAGCACAATGTTTGAAATGAGTATTTTGTCTTCAAAACACTTCAGCATTTTTATGTTGAAGTACAGTGATATGTCTTGATCCTGAAATTCAAAGACCCAATTTAAACTAAGAAGATGTACTGCATAGCTATGGTACCACCACAGAAAACATACATATTTTTTAGTTTTTATTTTTCTTTAAAATGTTAATCAAAGGCTTTATAAGTTTGGTAATGCTCAATAACAAGATGCCCATACAATCAGAAGTGTAACCCAATACCCAACCTAGATATATCAACTATCTTTGACTGGCAGAGACACTCGAACACCCACCTCCATGTTCCCCTCCCCCTCCTCATCTCCTAGCTCCTCCCCTTCCTCTCCTTACTCCTCCCACCATAGCTTCTCCTACATATCACCCTTCCTGTTAAGATAAAACTTTTCTCTCAAAATATAATTAGGGCATAACTATACCAATTTGTATCAGTAAGGTACAAGATAGACCTAGTACCCAGTCCATCATTTTGTTGACTAACCAGAACCTCTGTCATTTCTCCTAACTAAAAGACTTCATTCTGAACCTGGCTTTTTTTTTTCTTGGTTTTAGGATGAATGTCAGCTGAAAACCATCCTCTCAAGTCTTTTTTTCTCAAAGTAAATAGCTGGGATTAGCTATAAGACTATAAGTCTTCAACCCTGTCAGAAATCCAGAATGACTGAATTAACTGAAATTATGGGAAGCACAAAGCATAGCTTCTAAAACTTAGCCAATTTATAGAGACCGCTGAACACCTGGACAGTCCCTATACTACAAAACATTGGAGCATCTGATCTTCAGCCTTCTGGCCCAGGATCATCTGACAGACCTAGTAATGCAGAATTATTAAGGGCTGACTACTCTGTCTTGGCAGACATAATCAGTTGACTATTCCGCAAGTGTGTCCTTTTCAGGACAGTAATTTGTCTGTAGATGAAAAGAGGCAACTCTTGCCTAATGGCTGTCTAACCACAACTGGAGTAACTCCAAAGATGCTCAATTTCTTCTTAGAATCCAAGACAGGAAGCTGTCAGGAGCAGATAGGTCTCTAATCAAAATGAACCTTAATACAGAAATGTTTGTAACGTCAATTCTGTGGACTTCTGACGTTTTGAAAACCAATTATCCATGTAAGGCAATCTGGACTGTTGTCTGTTAACTCCACTCAGCTATTTCTAAATAAAATATAGAAAACACCCTAACAATAAACTCAGAGCCATGAATTTGCTATGGGCCCTTAACTCACAGGCTAACCATCTCAAATCAGTTAAAAAAGTTAAAGAAGGACTTGGCCTAAGCCTTGTATTCCTAAATGTGTTATATAGGCACAATGCCTGTGAGAGTAACAATATTAATCTCGCTTCTATATCAATTAGAAACTCATACCAATGAAAACCTTAAATTTGAAATCAAAGTAAATTTTGTACCATTTAAGAAATTATAACTTCAGCTTAATAACAATTATACAGATTTCTTCCAATACATTATAGCTATGCAATAAATCCTAGCTATTCCTCCCTGTTCCAACAAACCCACTACATTTCCCTAGAAAAAGTAGCCCAATATTAACCACCTCAGTCCCCAAGCCCAGGGAATAGGGGCAGTGAATCTTCATTAACTTCTTCAAGCTGATTATGGGCGTTGAGATATTAGAAGAGGGGCGGGGGTGAGGGGGGAAAGTAAATTGATAAGTCTCTGACATCTGTGTCTTCACTGCATTCAGCTGAGATTCCAGGATATCAAAGGTTCAAGCAGGTCTGCTCAGCTTGCTTGATGAGTAGATACACCAAGGCTGTGTATTCTGCAATATACAATTCTCAAAACAAATTTTAGTATCAAGATATTTTTTGTTTGAATTCTGGAATCTAGTCCTCTGGTGGCCTGTCTCTATCATATCTAATCCATATAATTCTGAGAGTTTCTATGAGGGTGTGCTCCCACCATCTTCCCATTCCCACCTCCCTGTTCTCCAATTCCCCAACACTAGAGAATCCAAACTATTGGGTACCAAGGCCCTCCACTTCCACTGATGCCTGACAAGGCCACCCTCAACTACCTATACAGGTGGAGCCATGAGTCCCTCCCTTTGCGTTTTTAGGCTGGAGGTTTTAGAATGGCTACTCCAGCTTGTTTCTTAGGACCATTTGCTTGAAAAATTGTTTTCCAGCCTTTTACTCTAAGGTAGTGTCTGTCTTTGTCACTGAGGTGGGTCTCCTATATGCAGCAAAATGCTGGGTCCTGTTTATGTATCCAGTCCCTTAGCCTTTGTCGTTTTATTGGGGAATTGAGTCCATTGGTGTTAAGAGATATTAAGGAAGAGTGATTGTTGCTTCCTGTTATTTTTGTTATTAGAGGTGGAATTATCTTTGTGTGGCTATCTTCTTTTGGATTTGTTGGAAGAGGATTACTTTTTTGTTCTGTCTAGGGTATAATTTCCCTCCTTGTATTGGAGCTTTCCCACTAATATCCTTTGTAATGCCGGGTTTGTGGAAAGATATTGTGTGAATTTGGTTTTGTCATGGAATATCTTGGTATCTCCATCTATGGTAATTGAGAGTTTTGCTGGGTATAGTAGCCTGGGCTGGCATTTGTGTTCTCTTAGGGTCTGTATGACACCTGTCCAGGATCTTCTCGCTTTTATAGTATCTGGTGAGAAGTCTGGTGTAATTCTTATAGGTTTGCCTTTATATGTTACTTGGCCTTTTTCCCTTACTGCTTTTAATATTCTTTCTTTGTTTTGTGCATTTTGTGTCTTGATTATTATGTGATGGAAGGTATTTCTTTTCTGGTCTAGTCTATTTGGCGTTCTGTAAGATTCTTGTATGTTTATGGGCTTCTCGTTTTTTTAGGTTAGGGAAGTTTTCTTCTATAATTTTGTTGAAGATATTTATTGGCCCTTTAAGTTGGGAATCTTCACTCTCATCTATACCTATTATTCTTAGGTTTGGTCTTCTCATTGTGTCCTGGATTTCCTGGATGTTTTGTGTTAAGAACTTTTTTGCATTTTGCATTTTCTTTGACAGCTGTGTCAATATTTTCTATGGTATCTTCTGCACCTGAGATTCTCTCTTCTATCTCTTGTATTCTGTTAGTGATGCTTGCATCTAGTACTCCTGATTTTTTTCCTATGTTTTCTATCTCCAGTGTAGTCTCCCTTTGTGATTTCTTTATTGCTTCTACTTCCATTTTTATGTTCTGGATAGATTTGTTCAATTCCTTCACCTGTTTAGTTGTGTTCTCTTGTAATTTTTAAAGGGATTTTTGTGTTTTCTCTTTAAGGGCTTCTACCTGTTTACCTGTGTTCTCCTCAAATTCTTTGAGAGTGTTATTTATGTCCTTCTTAAAGTCCTCTATCATCATCATTAGAAGTGATTTTAGATCTGGTTCTTGCTTTCCTGGTGGTATGGGGAATTCAGGACTTTCTAGTGTGGGAGAACTAGGTTCTAATGATGACAAGTACCCTGGGTTGCTGATGCTTATGTTCTTGCGCTTGCCTTTCACCATCTGGATCACCTTAGTGCTACCTGCCCTGTCTCTTACTGGAGCCTGTCTTTCCTATTATCTTGTTTGTTTCAGAACTGTGTGGGGTGGGTATTACTACTAGGGTTAGAGCTGGTGCCCAAGATCTGCTCAGTGCTTGGGCCCAGGCCAGAAGGAACCAGTGTTCTGGGCCAGGAGTGAATTGCTGGGTCCTAGTGGGTCCCAGTTACTCCCTGTTTGGAGGGGAGGTGTTGCTGTCTCCTTACCTAAGATGTTGCCCAGGTTAGAGCTCCTGGAAGGCCCGCTTCCTCTGGGTTTTGTAAGATTGAGTGCAGAGCAGCAGCCTGGGATATGCTCAGTGCTCGGGTCCAGACTGGAAGGCAAAAAACATATTTTTAAAGTCAAAGATCTAGAATAATAGAAAATTGTTAAAGAGTATGACAAGACTAATAATAATATAGAAATAGTAAAAACTATATAAAAATTTAATAATGATAATGATATTAATAATAAAACTGTTACAAATTATGACAAAACTTCCATTTCACCCTTCATATGTTTTGTAACGAATTA